ACATTTCAGTTATTTCATGCTATGGTATGAGTTCAATTTCAGTTTCATGTATTCATTCTCCGCTTAGATTCAGCAGAAAAGAGTGGTTGGGTGTAAGAATAGACATGTGCTCAGTGTTGTGAAAACCCTCCTCAAGAATCTTCATTTTGGGCCGAGGCTGCTAGTACAACTGTTTTCTTGATTAATTATGTTCCCCTCCCCAGGCCTGGCTTGAAAAATTTTGGGATGTTGTTGTTGCTGTTAGATATGGTCAGAGTTCCTCTAATCACTCTCTCTTTGTCCACCAAAGATCTCAAGGTATAATGATCCTTTTGTTGTATGTTGATGATATGTTGATTGGGGATGATAAGGAAGGAATTCGAGAACTTAAGTCTCTTCTCCACAATTCTTTTCATATGAAAGATTTAGATTCACTTATTTCTTGGGGCTGGAAGTACAACGTAGTGGCTGGAGTTACGTTGTTTGTCAGTACAAATATGCCTCTAATCTTGTTAGACTTGCTGGGCTTACTGACAACAAACTGGTTGATACACCTCTAGAGCTAAATGTCAAGTTGTCTCTCATGACTCATCCTATCGTCTCTCATGCAGTTCAGGTAGTTAGTCAGTTTGTTTCTACCCTTCCTCAGCCTCACATGACTGTTGTCCATTGGATCACTATGTTCATGGCACCTTATCACAGGGACTATCCTTTTCTTTCTCCTCTCCTATTCAGTTGAGGGCCTATGCTGATGCAAATTGGATAAGCTGCCCTGACACCAGATGGTCTACTACGGGGTGGTGTGTCTTTATGGGTGATTCCCTCATATCCTGGAAATGCAAGAAAAACAAACAATTTCCAATTCATCTACAGGAGCCGAGTATAGGGCTATGTCATCTATGTGCAATGAGACAATTTGGCTTCAATCTCTCCTTGCTAATCTTGGTGCTCATCTCGCTACTCCTATTCCTCTCTATATTGGTAACACCAATGCCATCAAGATTGCATCTAATCCAGGTTTCCATGAGAGGACTAAGCATATTGAGATGGACTGTCACTTTATTAGAAACTTCTTTCTCGCCGGTTCCATCTCTCTTCCACATGTAGCCTCAGATCTGCAAATTGTTGATATATTTATTAAGGCTATGACAAGATCCAAACATCTCTTTCTTGTGGGCAAACTAATGCTTGTGTCTCTACAACAGTTTGAGGGGGAGAGTGGAGAATCCTGATGTACTGTACTACTATAGTCCATATTGTACTATAGTTTTATTTCTTATTTCTATGAATCTTTGGAAGTGGGGGTCAATTATTACATTAACACCCCTGAAATCCTATGCCTTTCTCTCTTTTGAACTATTAGAATAATAGGAAGAGGAAAAGGGAACTGATGGTTTTAAAATAGTAGCAAAAACCTATTTCAAGGTGGAGCTTACAGTAGTAAATCTGCAATTTGAATCTAGTAACGTAACTGTTTCAAGATGGTGCCCATTATCTTGTTAGAGAACAAAAACCTATTTAGGGAGCCATTCAACCTAAAAGGTTAAGCTATTAGGTGAGGTCCTTAAATAGGTTTTTATTCCCTAACACGCCCCCTCACACAAAAGCCCAGCATGGACAAGCATAGGCCCACCCATACCTTGTGCTGAACAAGCTCTAATACCATGTCAAGGAACCATTCAATCTAAAAGCTTAAGTTGTCAAGTGAAGTCCCTAAATAGGCTTTTATTTTCTAACATATCTAATGCAACCTCTAAAACCATGTCAAGCAACCATTCAACCTAAAAGCTTAAGTTCTCAGGTGAGGTCCCTAAATAGGTTTTTATTCTCTAAGATATCTAATGCAAAAGGACTGGGAGTAGAGGATGGTGTTATAGTTCGAATCCTGGGGTTGTCACTCCATTTATGGAAATAAGTCTTTCAATCAATTTCTATACTTTGTAAGGATCACCTAGATGGAGTTTTCTTTTTGATCTTCACTCTATCGCAATTAGTTTGAGAGGAATCAAACATGAAGAAATTTCCAAGAAAATGGAGATGTTTACAGGATTGTGCAATTTAGCTTGGTTGCTACTCTCCATTAAAGCAACAATGTGGAAGGAAGCTTGTAGGGAGGGAGATGAAAGGGCAGAAGAAGATTGTCTACATGGCAAGCTAAGAATGGATGATTCAAATTCGGCTGCAAGTTGCTTGGAAATGGAGGGACACTCTCGAGGTAAGGAGAAAGGCAAAAGGGAAGGTGGAGAGGCTTCTTGCTTTGGAATTAATGGTGGGTCAACATGTGGTAGATCATATGTGTAGGCTTTGACTAGTGGAATTAATGGCAAGGTGCATGTGGTTTAGGATGGAAATCTTGACAAGAATTTTAATAGTTGCCAAGAAGATCCTAAGATGATCCAAATTTCAAACCATTGGGTTGGGATGGGAGAGACAAGACATGTTGCATGACAACTTAAATGGTCACATGGGGCCTCTAATTAAAGACAAAGGAGGGCCTAACATAATAAGACCTAGGAGTGGAGGACTGACCAGATAATTGCAAAGCCTATTAGAAAGAGTATTTTAAAGTCCTTCAAGATGGAACCAGGCATTCGTGAGCCAAAAACAAGATAGGCCAAGTGTTGAAGTCTGGCCTAGGGAGTTGAGGGCACAAGACAATTTTAAAAGTCATGTGACATGGGGGAGGAGTATGGTAATAGACGACAAATCACATCTATCATCATTTTCTTCTAACCTGGTCGAGAAGGAAGGAGATGTGACAACGAGAATTAAGGTTTAGAGTCTTTAGACAAAGACCTTTGAGATCATGCCACCGAACAAGGATGGGTATTTTTGGCGTATTACAAAATACAAATATGGAGAAGAGGAGGGGAATCCAAAAGAAAAGGTTGGTGTTTTAAATTGCATTCTAAGAAAGAAGGATTTTGTTAAGTGATACGTTGGAAGAGCAAGTGTTGATTGTATCTTGTTGGAAGAAGAGGTAGAGACCAAAGATGCTAACGTGAGTAGCAACTATGGCAAGGAAGGTTATGTGGTAGAACTCGATTAAATAGAATACCAAGAAAGCAGAATTTGCTCAAAAGCAGGTGGTGAGATTGTTAAAGGGGTTGATAGGGCATGTGAAGGTGGAAATGAAGAAATGGAGAAAGGGTAGAAGAAAGAGGAGGGGAAGGGAGGGAGGGAACTTAGGTGGAAAGAGGATGGGTACGATAGTTGATCTAAAAATGGTTTAGGGAGTATGAAAGAGAATAGCGAAAGAAGGAACTGTTTGTAGGGGAATGAAAAGGAGAGCTAGATTTAAAGTGGGGTAGATGAAATAGAAGAAAGAGTAGAGTGGGGGTTCTTGAGAAGAATAAGGTTCCTATTAGGGATTTGGGGAATGGGGAAGTTGTTGACAAAGAAAGGGGGGGAGGTGGGGAAAAAGAAGCGTGGAGTTGACAGATCAAAAACCTATAGAAGGAAAAAAAGAACATATAGAACCAAATCATTGCAAGAAGACCACCTTTGTCCCATCCCTAATCACCAGAGTTTCGGGTTTCCTCGAAACCTGCCTTGAACCCGGTCAACAATCAAAAAAACCCTGACGTGGTCAGGGTGGGGTGAGTCAGAGTCCCAACAGGGGTGGATCAAATTGCCATCTCTAAGTGGATCTAGGTGATCTCTAGGTACGAAAGTTCAGATCAATGGAAAACTGGGCAAAAGGTAGCCAAAGATTCCGGTGAGTTCGTCAATGCTCAATGTCTTGAAATTTGCGAGTCTAAGGCAAGGTCAAGTGGACATTCCAGAGGTGAGTCAGATGTGGTCAGGTCTAAACTTCAATCACAAGAGTTAGATGCTCCAACGCTATGGCCCTGTTTAATTTGTGTTCCTATTGAGCAGGCTCAAGAGAATAGGGCTGAATTTGTAGGTCTGGTTGATGGTTGTACAAAGGGGGTGGAGATGGGGATTGAGGATATTATAGGAAATGGGGTGGAGTTAGTTGTGAAGGTGGTGGACAGTGTCAAGGACAAGGCAGAGAGGGTGACACGGAAAGGGGTGAGGGTGTACAAATAGTAGTTAATTGTTGTTGCTAGGATAATAGCTATGATGATCCTAAAATGGATATGCCTACTTCTTTAGGAAGCTGTAAAGATCATCTAGTTGTCCAAGTAGTATTTGGATTGGGTGTTGACTTGGGCCGTAAGAGGAAGGAGTTTGATAGTCGACACTGCTATGGCTTTTGCAGTTCTAAGGAAATATAGAGTTTCAAGCAAAACATATATCGTGCATATTACTAAGGTTTTTCTGTGGTTGGAAAGAGTTTTTAGGGCAAGTCCAACCAACAAATATAAAAGGTTGTACAAAAGAAATGACATAAAATTCAGAGCTCTAAATCATGAAGACCCTACTAGGGAGAGTCAAAACTTGCAAGACTTCGACAAAAAGAACCTTTCAATGTCTTTTCCCAAGGGTGAGTTGGAACTTGGAAAAAGTGGGGTTACATAGGAGGATAGGGAGGGCACAAGTGAAGCTAAGGAAGTTGCTGTCAAGGTGTTTCCAGAAGTGGAGGAGGCAAAGCAATGAAGTATGGACTTGAAGAAAATTGTTGATAGGGAGGTAAAGGTTGGCAAACCTTTTTGTTTGTTTCTCTAGAGAGGAGAGACTTTCTAAAACTTTTGAAGAATATGAGAGGAGAAGAGAGTATTAATTAGAAAAAACATAATTGGGCAAGGGTGAGAAATATGGAATGAGGAAGAAGGGCAGGAAGAATTTTTTATGGGGAGGACTGAATTTGGTCTTTAGGAGAATTCTAGAGTTTTTCAAGTATTCAACTAAGCTGATCAATTATAATCAAGAAATGTAAGTAATCTAACACTTGATCTAGATATTTTAGCGACACAGATGAGTTTGACTTTAGCTAACCCCATATAGCTGGACATAAATTGAAATTTCATATCCAAATGAAATTTGGAATTTATCACTACTTGTCAATAAGGAAAAAAGAAATAAAAAAGAACGGAATAAGGTGAAAGTAAATGTACCAGCTAGCACTTGAAGACATTTTCCGGATATCCCATAGTTTGATTGTTTGATCTTTTCCATTTGAAATAAAATAACGACCATCTCTTCTACTGTCGAGAAATGTAATGCCTTCTAAATGTCCCACCAAGACCCCTGCTGGACGTCCCTTTGCAATAAAGCAACGCCTGTCCCAAACCTGGTTGACATCATAAATTATATCACAACTCTTGAACCATAAGCATAGCCCCAGAAAGAAATTAACCTATCTATCTAACCTCCCTTTTCTTGGATGACATTGATGCTCATTAACATCATATTGGAGTTATTTATCAATATCATTTATTTTATAGATCTATCAAAAAAATATATCATTTATTTTATAGGTCTAACTAACTAATTTGATTCTCATAAATTAAGAATTCATGATGAAGGGATAGTCACAAACATGAATTTTGACTTGAAACGTAATACTGGAGAAATTCTAAGGCAAGAAGTCACAAAGACTTCTCTGAAATTTGTTCATAAAGCTAGAAACTTGAAAATAACCTTTCTTGTTTATGCTTTTTCTTTTCATTTCTCTTATTTATTTTTCTGTAACAAGTAACAAAGATATTTTCTTAAACAAGTCAAAGACCAAGGAATGTATGAGTGGCCAAGCAAGGAGACAAAATGCAAAGAGACCCCAAATGAGACAAGCAGGGAAAACAAGAATAATAACAGGAAAATAAGTGTACACATACCAAAAAAGCTATTCTGGTAAGCTGGACCCCCGTGCCATCCCATGTGTTTTCCTTGGTTATCCTACTTCTGGTAAGTTGGACCTATTGGCTATCCCCATGCTATCCCATGCTATGGTCCTATGTCCAAGAAAGTCAGTATCTCTAGGGATGTCTCCTTTGAATCTTGCCCTTTCTTCCTTGCCTCACCTCAGGGGGAGAATAGTGGTGAGGTGAGACATGTTCTTTCTTTCCCCATTCCGGTTCAACCTTCTTCCCGGCAACATTGTTCGTCTCATCAACCTCTTCAGGTCTACTCTCGTCATACTTGGGCACCACAAAGGCCAGTCATAAGATCAACCACTAGGCACAGGTGTGGAACTGAATAAAGTGCCTCCAATACCATTAGACTCTCATGTGACAGAATGACAGATCCTCATGTCATTCATCCTTTAGCTACTTTCTAAGCCCACTACTAGTGATATTGATATTGACCTTCCTATTGCTCTCAGTAAGGGTGTAAGGTTTTGTACCAAATATCCCATTGCCTGCTTTACTTCCACCACTTCCGTCCCCTAGTTATCGTTCTTTTATATCTGCCACTTGTAGTGTGTGTATTCCTAAAAATGTTGCAGAAGCTTTGGAATTACCCGAATGGAAGAAAGCTATGTGAGAGGAGATTATTTCCCTTCATAAGAATCACACACCTTTCAAAGTAAAAGAAACTAGTGGGTTATAGATGGGTGTTCACTGTAAAGCATCAGGCTTATGACTCTATAGAGAGGTATAAGGTGAGGTTGGTGGTGAAGGGGTTCTCTCAAATGTATGGTGTAGACTATAATGAAACTTTTGCTTCAGTGGCCATTGGCCAAGATGAACTCCATATGGGTTCTTTTATCTCTCAGTAAGATGAACTCAAATGTATGGTGTAGACTATATATGAAGAATGCTTTTTTGAATGGTAATCTAGATGAAGAGGTGTATATGGTTCAACCCCCTAGTTTCTAGTTGCAAGAAAGTGAAAGGAAAGTTTGTCACCTGAAGAAATCCTTATATGGCTTAAAGCAATCTCCCAGGGCATGGTTTTAGAGAATTAACAAGGTAGTCCTACAGGTTAGTTTTGTACAGTGCTAGGCTGATCACACATTGTTTATGAAAAGGAAGGGTGATTTTGTTGCTATTTTGATTGTGTACATAGATGACATTATAATTACAGGAAATTGGGAGGAATAAATGTCAGAATTTTATATCAAAAACAATATATGAATAACTGTACTCCAACAAGACAAAAAGGAGAGAAAAAATAACACAAAAACCCTCCAACCTACAGATATAGAAGCCACCATTCTATAGAGAAAACCCACCGGTGAAAGAAACCAAGGGAAAAGCACATGTATCAAGAAATTACTAGGTACACAAAGGCATGCCCAACCCAGACCAAAAACCCCATACCAAGGTAAAACAAAAATTCCATAATGATAAATTACCTTACAAAGGTTATCATCACTACCAGAATATATGAGATGCCCACTTTCATCAGCAAAGCATACTGTATTAACATCAGACTGCAATAGGGAAAAAAGGAAAAACATAAGGAAAATTGAGATGAACTCACAATAACAAATCTCATAAGATTGCAAAGTAAACAGTTCACCTAAGGAAAATTGAGAAATACAATATAATTCTAAACAACCATATGAAGGATAGCATATACTTAAAAAAAATTCAGGATCTGCACAAATTTTCTTGAAAGACAACAGTACAACACAAACAGCAAGCATAGTAATCTAGAGTAGGATAAGAATTACCACCTTAAACCAGTACAACTGTTGTGCAAATCCAAAGAGATGAACTCACAACCCCAATCCCAATCCAAAGCCTTTGGTCAAAGCTGGATTGAGCTTCAAGGGGCAAGGGAATCGTGAGATTTAAACTCCTATCCTTTATTTAGGGGTGTAAACAGATCGAATTCGAATCGGATAAGGCAATATCCGAATTCGAATCCAATTAAAAAATCCGATATCTGAATTCGATTTGATATCCGACAGATATTGAAAAATAATATCCGAATTTGAATCCGATTAAATATTCCAATATTCAATTTGATTAATTAATTATTTTAGATAATTAATAAATATATAAAATAAATATTTTATTGATATAAAGTATATAAATATATAAATTATTTATATAACTTAAGTATTATATATAAATTATATAAAGTATTTTATATATTATATATAAGAATTAAATTATCGGTAGAATTCGGATATTTATCGAATCAAATCAGGTCATATCCGAATTCGACCGATTAGATATTCGAATTATCTGAATTTGATTCAATTATGTCGAATATCGAATTCGAAATCAGATTTTCGAATACCGTTGACACCCCCTACCTTTATTAAATGCAAGAACTCTACAATCAAGAAAGATCCTCCTTTCCATGTCAAAATGTAGCCATATCTATATCTATACAGAAAAATAATGACAATCCACAAAGTTGGGTTCAAGCTAGTCCAACTGAATTCAATATCAGTTAGGTCATTCAGTTTTCCATTGAGCCAGATCCAAGGCTTTTTTCTTCTTTTTTTCTTCCTGGGGAGGGGGGCATGTTTGGGGCTACACAATGGGAGTATCCCATCCCCCAAACCCATATAACCCCCAACCTTCAAGCCAGATCCAAGTTGCACCCCGCTTTTCTTTGGTTTGATGTCTATTCCGTCCTGCTTATTTAGTTTGACCTTGCAACAACTATATAATTTTAAATAGGTCCTGTTCATAAACCTCATTCTTTGACCATAAACCTGGACCAAAAAAACAATCTCCATTTTCTCTCTGCATTTGACCATTTATAGTCAATTTTTCAAATGGAAATTCTTTCTCCATGCTTTCCAGTCATGGATCCTCTACAATTACATCCTATCTCTCCTACATCAAATCTCTTTGCGAACTGAATAACATAACTTCAGTAAAATGGGCTAAAAGTACAAACACCCATCACCATGGTGCAAATTTGAACATTTATGACCATGAAACCTCTGATTCAACCCAATGAAGAAGCCTCATAACATTTATTGAGTACTATTTATGACTTAACCATGATAATTATTATTAAACTATGGAATTAGGCCCTTTACTTGCCAAGTGACCCATCCTGTAAGCAACAATATTAGAATGGTCGTCTTAACAAAACCTCATTTCATGGGATCATCATCCAAAATTTATCTTAAAATCCTTAGTGTTGTGTTACTAAGCTGTACAATAGTAGAGCTGGACTAGGATTTTGAATTTGTATCATTGTATGACATGGTTGCCTGTAGCGTCATATTCTTTTTTCTGACAACTAACCTTAATGCTAGAATATTAATACCTATTCCAATCCTTTAGTTAGGATGTGTTGCCATGAAGCTCACAAGTTCAATTGAAACGACTATAGATTCTCTGTAGAAGAACAAAGATCTCAATTTGATTCATCTATATGCATGCTCTCATTCAAAGCTCACAAACTCCACAAGCAAAATTGTTCATCTAACACCCATGACTTGAATTTCATTTTCTAAAAGTAGTAATTTTGTTAATCAGAATGTTGACATCCTTTGTCTTTCTCCCAAGAACTCAATGAAGTCCCATCACGACTCATGGTATCATCAATATCTATCCTTTCAGTCCTAACTACTCCAGACCTTACTGGTGCAGTATTTGGTCTTCTATCCACATGCTCAAACCATCTTAGTGCACTTCATTTTATCACCTGTCTAGGAGATTCCTAGGTTCCCATGGATGAACTCATTTCTAACCCTATCCTCTCTAAAGTTGCAAGTCATCTTCCATATCAGCATCTTCATCTTTTCCATACTTATTTTACAGTCTAGATGCTTTTTGATTGTTGAATGCTCTACTCCATTCGATGCTGCAAAATATGTTGTTTGGACTGCAAAAACACTGTAAAGGCCGAACCTTGATAGGGCTTGACTGTAATTTAAAATTTTTGACAGTCCAAGTATGTAAGAATCAAGTTCTCATGGGGGAATCAGATTCTCCTAGGATCAATCAAGCTCTAGATTGGACTAAATTTGATTTCAATAATTTAACTGAACGTACCTCATATGGAGACCATAGTATGCAGCTCCCAAAGTGGTAGTTCACGCCCATGATTCAAGCCCAAATCAACTTCCAAACTAAAAATGGCACAGCTATACTGGAGTCTGGAAAGCCACTCTTGCAACAAAACTGCAATTGATTGCACCCCAACAAACTTGGACAAAATACAGCTACGAACCACTTTCAATCTCTGATGTGTACAAGAAAAACACAGCAGAGAACAAGAGGAAAAAGGCTCCTCAAAGGGTAAGGTCGAATTAGGGTTTTGGGTTGCAAGAGAGTAAAGAATAATGTGCATGAGTGAGGTGCAATAGCATATATCGACCTCTACCTCTCATCTCTCTTTTATAGGCAAGATAATTCTAGTGTAATTAGGACTATCCAAATCTGATTTGGTTAGCCTTCTAATTACATTAGTTATACACTCAAACCCATGATATGTTCAACCCAAGTTGTCATGTGACTAGTCTAACTAGCTAATGGGCCAAGGCCTATTACTTGAGTGGTTTATTAATTGTATGTGTTGCAAGTCTTATTGGGCCCGAATAGTGTATGGTGTGGGACCCACAAAGGTCTTATATCAGTCCATATGGGTTCAGCCCATGCAAAAAAGCACATGGGCCAAATTCATTACGTAAACCTTGTGAACCCTTGAGCCTAAGGATAATGGACTAACATAAGAAAATGCCCATCAAGTTTCAACCCTTAATGGTCTTTTCTTTTAACCGCTCAACATCAAACATTGCTTACAGGGAAGGACCTCTTCCCTGACTGCTAAATGTAGTGTCACATTCTCTGCTCAGATGGATCACAGGATTAAAACCTTTTGCAAACTTTTTTCATAAAATAACATTTTATAAATATAAATATATTTTCTAAGATGATTTCAAAATAAGTCGAAATCCACTGCTAGTAGTTTTAGGTTTCCATAAGAGAGAGTGTTAACCCTAATATTCTCTATGTTTGACAATGGGGTTGATCATATCACAATGATCACCCACTCAAGTAGTATTCCAAACTACTCTGGCATACCCAAGAATTTGACCCTTAGAGGATCTCACTAGTTGGCATATCAAAAGCAGCCCAATCCAAAACCTAGTGTAGTATCATTATCCAATATGGGGTTAAGTGTAACTTTCCAATTTTACACATTTGTCTTTAAGGTCCAGGGTATAATAGGAAATTGGTCTGTGTTTAGTGCTTCTTATAAACATCCACTGATTGTACCTTGGGTCTAACTCTAGCAATTGAGACAGGTTGGTCCACCATTCCAACAGTACATTAGTATCAGCCTTGTTAAGATAAACTCTCCAAGTTCATTCAATGGCTAAGAACATTCTAAACCAACATAAGTCTCATAAATGTCCAATTTAAGGGGTAACACAAAGAAAACATACCAATCACAAAACATGAAATAATAATGATCTGATTTTATTAATCACAGATCTCAAAATACATCAATCTAATTGGAGCTAAGGGTATACACTATCTAACAAGATATATCGCCATCTTATAATTTCCCTTTGAATTCGACTACTGCAACAATAGTCATCAATTCCCAAATTGTAGAGAGCTTTCTTATGAACTTTATTTGAAACTCACAAGTTTCTCTAATTAAGCAAATAGGTTGCAAAAGAATTGTATCTTATTTCATTGTTGAAAGGTCATAACCGATGCTGGTTCTATCTATCTAGGGTCTTGGGAGGGGTGAACTAGATAAAACTTATTTCCTTGCTATATTAATGGAAAAATGGATATCATCCATCACATTTTAGATTAGATGGATCCCAGGAGTGGTAAATACAGTTGCAAACAGCTTAGCAACATTGGGTGTGGAGAAGGTTTATTGAGAATCAAAGTTAAGGGGTATTCACCAATTAAGATGATATTGCTAAGAAGTTTGTGGATCATTTTAAATTACCTTATAGAAGACCCTTGGATGAGAGGATGGAATTAGAAGGGGTAGATTGGCCAAGTTTGGATGAAGATCATGTTAGGTGGCTGGAAAGAAATTTTGAGGAAGACGAGATTAGGAAGGTGGTGTTCTTAATGGATAAATCCAAAGCTCCAGGCCCTAAGGGTTTTACAATGGCCTTTTACAAAGATTGTTGGGAGGTGATAAAAAATTATCTTTGTGAGGTTTTTAATGAGTTTACAAATACATATATAGTTAGTCAAGGCATTAATGCTACTTTCTTGGCTCTAATTCTAAAGAAATCTGATGCTATCCATCCTAAAGACTTCAGGCCAATTAGTTTGGTGACTAGTATTTATAAAATCCTAGCCAAGGTCCTGCCAGGCCCAAGGGCATTCATCCAAGGACGACAAATAATTGATCAGATCCTAGTTGCCAACGACTGTGTGGAGGAGATGAAGAGGTCTAAGCAAAGAGGCTTTGTAAGTAACTCGATCTTGAAAAAGCCTATGACTTTGTGGCATAGTTGTCAAGGCGACGCCTAGACGACAAGGCACCCTTTGAGGCTCACCTCGCCTAATCGCCAAGCAGTTTTCTACTTCCTACTATAAAATAATTTTTTATTCATTCTTTTT